TGTTGGGTATGAAAAATATAGAGGTCGTGAGGTGTGAATGAAAATACCGTAGCAATTGATATAGAAAGGATAAAGGTGTTGGTCCCTATGTGAATTCAGTGAATAACATACAAGTCATATATAATTGAAAGCTAGCTACTATTTTATAGGTGTATACATTCACACTTTCCCTCGTGAATTCTTGTGTTTTCCTTCTGTTCTCTAGTCTCTTGAGGTGCGTTGGTTCAACTTGAATGATTCCAACCAAGCAATTGATATGTAAAAATATTCCCTAGCATTGTAATACAACTCTTTATCGATCAATTAATGGACTTTTTGTTTATTAAAAAAAAATAATAATTGTAATTAAACATCCGGATTTATTAGCATCTCATTAGGAATTTATTATACTGACATTTGAAAGCATATTACAAGGTTTAAAAATAAATTTATGTACGTACGTATAATTGTACGTACGGACAATTATACGTAAGTACAGACATCTATTTTTAATATTGTTGAAAATTGAGGCAATATTAATAAAATATGTTTATTGATGACTTTACATGACTCTAAACAATTATATATTGTTTATAACAATAGTAATTAGTTATAAATTTAAAAAAAATAAATGGGAAGTTGGTCGTCAGGACACCAAGTGCAATCAGACCCATTTTTAAAATAATTGATCACGAAAGATGAAATAATTGTAATTTTTTAATCGAAAAGCTTTCATTATTTTTCGAAGCCAACCATTTCCGGTGAAAAAGAAAAATTAAAAAATTTTGTTCAGTGTTAAGTTTGGTAATCAAAATTGAAATAAAAATCATGTTTAATGTTCTTAACTGACGGTGCTCCTCCTTTTCAAAAGTGTATAGAAACCTAACTAAAATAAATAAATAAGTATTGGTGTCCATTGCTCGATGTCTTGCGTGTGTTGCGTGACCAAATCGAACCCTCATAACGAGTCAAATTTTCGCATCCGTCCTGTGTGTGAAACAATAAAAGATTGCGTGTGAGACGACAAAAAATTTTGGCCAGGGATGAAAGTGTCGACAAGACGATTTTTTTTGCTTCACTTATTTTTACAAAATTTGAAAAAAAAAAATTAATAAATCAAATAAAGTTAATTTAATTTGGATAAATAATGAAAAATTAGCACTCACTTTATGTATTAATTTTAATGAATTTTACTAGAAACTCAAATTTTCTTTTTTGTAAAAAAGAAATATGTATATATATATAAATAGTACTTGGTTGTAGCTTAAGGGTAGTAAGTCACTCATTGCTATTCTTTGCTGTTTCAATTTTTTTTTTTTTTTCAAGTTACTTTCTAATTACCAACTTTTTTCATAAATCACACTAATTAATTAATTAGTAGCTTGCGGCATACTCTCCTTGTTTTTCTTGATTCCAACGAGACTTTTCCTTGTCTGCTTGCAGCTCACCCTCTTTACCTTTTTTTTACTCTCTTGGAAAACCCTCGTTTCATTCTTTTGTCTTTTTTATAGAGCCCTTCTTGTATCTGAAAAGTTCCATTTAGTCTACCAACAATTTGATGATAAGTTGAAGATGTAAAATGGATTCTTTCATTATTTATGTACTGATATCAAATTATATTAGAACAATTTTTTTTCACAAAATTACCAACGAAAAAATCATTACATCTTATTATTAATAAATAATAATAATTAACACATTTAATCAAATACAGTTTTAATCATTATTTAATGATAAAATAATTCATTATTTAATTGTTTTAGTAAAAATTATAATAAAATAATATTAAGTTGCACTTTTGGTCTGCTAAAAATTCAGAAAAAATAAGCATAAAATTATATCTGTTTAAAAAAAAAAAATAATAATTGTGGTTAACCAAATTTCCTGAATTTTTTTAAAGGGTAATAATTTTCAAAAACCAGTATTAAAATTCGCTGTAAAAATGAAGGTTTAAATAACATCTGATTAGCTGATCCTTATAATTATTCTTTCAGCTGAAGTTCAAAAATAATTAACTTTTCAGATAAAATAATTGAATCAAAAAATGAACATTTTGCACTCTTTATCAAGATTAGTAATCCATCATTATTCATTTAATAAAAATGTACAAATTATAGATGCTAATTTTTTAAAGCACAATTATGTAGCATAATATGTAACTAATCACTTCGCATGTCTAGGCTTCATAAGGTATAAATGATGGTTATGATAAACAGCTCAACATAAAAGTATAAATTGTAGTCTAATTTACGTGTGAGTACAATAAAAGAAAATGACTGGTTCAAGAATATAATTTGTTATATAAAATCATTTTTATGCTTTACAAATATTTATCATTTATCTAACTGCAATACTACATTCAACTGGTTTATCTATCGTGTATCTATCATGTAGGTATTCTTGATAAGTTTGAACTCGTTCGAATATGTTTAACCACTTTTTTCTAACTTACATCTTGATTATTACAATGTCAGTTGACCAGATATCATATCAAACAATTCATTTATGACACCTAATAATGTTCAATATTTTAGGAAAAATAATAATCAAAGAACAAGAATAATTCAATTGATAACATGATTGAAATTTATTGGATTCATTTTAACAATAGAAGTATGAAAATATTGATCTTCCAACCAATAATCAAAATCTACTTCAATATATCATTTACATCAATTAAACAGCATTATATAAAAAATGTAATAAAAAATATCAGATCTTCATCAAACACTTTCTGAATGTGTGGTGTTATTCTCACAAATATTTTTGGGAGTGTCGAATAAATAAAAATTTTTTTTTTCCACCCATAATTAAATTCCATTCTCAGTATTGCTAATAATAGTTTTCTTTCTCTGAAAAATTCCATTCTTGGAATTAATAAAACTCTTATAGATCAGGATTACTCACCTGATCTACTCCAAAACGTAGTAAAAAATAGAACTCCATCAGCATCTAGATTCACACAAGCTAGAACTCCAACGGAGCATCAAAGCTGTGAACCTTTCAGGGGATGAAGGTAACACAAAATCATCAAGTCATCATGTAATGACTTGCGACTTGTCAGGTTGATGTCCAAGCTGCGGTGATATTATCCTAAGGGGCTAGTTCTCTCGTTAAAGAGCATCAAGAAGTAATAAAGGGAATCACCTTGATGCCGCACTAGCTGTGAGGAATGTTTTAGTTGTAAACTGCCTGTTATCTCTGACACTATCTCACATATAGACACTCATCAGTTGAAGGTATAAGCTTGAGGTGTTAGAGAATACATTCTCGAGATGTTTTACAACGTCTATTAGAAGAAGTCGGCCGATTATGATGATGATGATCGCTGGATCATGACGAATCTAAACGCAACGATTATTATAGTACTTTATCAATGCTATCGGCTCTTGATTATCAATTCTTGTCAATTAATTATAAATAACGGTTGTTAATATTGATCAGTGACTGACAGCTTCCAATTGTTCACTAATTATGTCTTTTATTGTAATTAGATTATTTGTTAATTTATTATTAATCACTCTAATTCTTGAAGATACTTGGATCTTTACGTTGACTTTTAGCACCTTTTTATTCAAAAAAATATTTGGATCCTCAAGTCAACACCCATTGCTACAATTTTGGATTAATTTTATTACAATTTCGAAGATAATTTAGAAACTAGACCAACTTTTAGGCTTCAATAATCATTGGAAGATGCTATTGGATCTGAATGAGCTAAACTTGATGATGATGATTATTCTTTGGTAATAAAATTTGCATCAAGATTTTATTCCTGACTTAATTCGAAGTGAATCATGAGTGATGATGGAAATAAATAGAATGATTAATGTTTAGAGTAACAAGTCTTACTTTTAATTTTAAAATTAAAAGATAATCTGAATGAAAATAATTTCATGAGGTTTTTTTTTGTTAATGAGTATTGATTAATCTACATTGAGAAAAAAATCAATTTTTTATTTGAAAATATATTCTTTTTCTTTATAAAACTAATAATACTAGATTTCTAGAATTAATTTCCAGAAGTCTTTTTTATTTACATAAAATTTTTTTCTTAATGTATCTGTTCACTGAATCAATATTCAAATATTTGCTGAAAATTTTTAGTGTGAACTGGGGAAAGTCAAGGGATCAGGCATGTTTGTTGTGAACTACATCCATCGTTTATTCCATGACAATGATTCTCTTAATTATAGTGTTTTTTTGGGTACAATTGAACAAGTGCAGTATTACAGAGTATCCCTACTAAGACGTGCTCCATTACTTCCATTTATTTATTTTAGGAAAATCTTTATTATTTACATTGGAATAATTTACATTCTGTAGAATCATCATCAATAATTGACACACAGATGCAATTCGAAAAATTCACTCGATCATTTTTTCCTTGCTTTCATTCATTATTTATTCGTTTTATAGAAAATACAAAGCAAAATAAAGCTTGCGAATTTATTGAGTTTTCGCATTTATTTATTGCATTACATTATTTCCTTTTTACATCATTATTTTTTTTTTTTTTTGGCTTTATTTTGCTCTTTATTCTCTTTCGACTTTTATTTATACTTTCTTGTAATACAGAACAAAACAATATTTACAGAAAAAATTGTATTTATTGTTAATGCTATATATATTTAATTGAATAATAATTTTTTTTTTGCCCTGTGTCTCTTTTTATTCTTACTTTCTTGTATAAAACTTGGAGCAATTTTATTTATCAGGTGGATAAAATCAATCTACTTATTAATAACAATAATTTAATTTGTTTTAAAGTTTATTTACATTTTAAATTATTTTTGAAAAATAGTTAAACATTTTTAATTTTTCTTTTTTTTAAAAAAAAAGATCTTAAGGTAGTTTTAGCACTTACCAATTATCTTCAGGAAAGCAAGATTTTTTAGTATAATATTCTTTAGATTGGTGTGAATAATTTCAAAAAAAAAAAAATTGACTTATCAATCAATTCAATCATATATCAAATCAGATATAAATAATTTTATTAAGAAAAATTGAAAAATCACACATTTTACATTAGTTTACACTACAAATCCGGGGAAATGCAAATGTTTAGTAATAAAACACTTAAAGTATTTAATTATTAAACACTTGGATTTGCAGTGTACGAATTAAATTCGAAAATTAATTGTTAATTTTAGAAAATTAATAGAAAGAAGATTTTTTTTTGTTATACATTAGTTTTTAATTTTAATCCTCTTTTAACCCTGTTTTTATTCATGTTTAAAACCTGCTCCTACATGCTAGAACTACCTTAAAACATTTCTAATAATTTCTGCTATTTATTTATACATTAAAAATAATCTCAAAAATAAAAATGATTGCTCCCAAAGCCAATTTAATAAACAAAAGTGTTATCTAAAATTTTTCCAGCTTTTCAATCAATTTTAACGAGTATCCTCTTGCCAACAATGCCGTGATTTTTAGTTATTGAAATATTCAAGTAGCCTGACTTTATCCTGACATTTTTCTCGTATAATTTCTTAGTTTCCATTTAGCCCCGTGTTTCTCAAAACCACAAAAGAATTTTCGGTGCTTCTGTATCTCTCCTTTCTTGAGATATCCCGTTGGGTACACGTGGGTGTTCTCGAATAAGCCCCACGCTGCGCTCTTCGCAGACGATAAAGATCATGCGCTCACGTAAAAGCATGCGACGCGTATTCCGGGAGCGTACGCTTTCCTTCTGGAATTATTAACGAGCCGATCGTCTCTTTTGCTGTGTTATACTGTACAAACGTATCTTATACAGGTTAGAAAAATTGTTTTTGGGATACGAGTCAGGTGCATCCGTTCATATATAACTCTTTATTAATAAATAAATTAAAAGAAAAAAAAATATATTTATGTATATTCAAACCGGAAGTTATACAGCTCGTCTTATTTCTTCTTTTCTTTTTCATTCATACAACAACCACACATTTTACAATTATTTATCACATTATTTCACTCGTTCTCTCCTTCTTATTTCCATTTATAATTCAAAATCCTACGAAATTTAACGATTTTAATATCAACGAATTTTACTTAGTTATAATACAATAATTGTAATAATAATAATAATAAGGGATAAAAATAATGATAATAATAATAATTACAATAATGATGATAAATGCGAGGTTTCATCTCGCTTTGAGGTTAGATTTTATTAACACAGTAGGATCCACTAGGCTATCGTTTTGGTCGTCGATTGGCGGGTCAAATGAGGATACTTGAGACCAAGAGCTGAATGATGACGGCGACGGGATTTAAGGATCCATTTTGGTGTACGAATGCGTAGGCAGTAGTTTGTGGTCTTTCTTCGTGTATTCTTTCGTCTTGTATGCAGTTTAGGGTGACGATCTCGAGGGAAATTGGCGCGTGCATGTATTAACGTATTCGTACCTGAAACCAAATAAATAAAACAACAATTAATCATCAATAATTTTGTCCATTTCATTACTTATTATTAATTAAAAAGTGCTTTTTAGCATTTAAATCATTTCTAATCCAGTCAACATGCAGCATCTGATTGCATTTGTGAGCAACTTTTTCGTAATCAGGACAGTTTTTAATTTTAAGACGGAAAAATACTCATTATAGAACATAAAAAAATTGTGCCCAAAACCGGAAACGGGCATTTGGTGTTTTTTATGTATTTTTCTGTTCCCACGTATCTGAGCGAGACAGCACTATACGCAGTGCCACAAGCTAGAAAAAGACATCACTAGTTAAAACGGAAGCAATGCATTTCTTATGGGAAAAGTTGATTTTTTTTACTAATTATTAATTTATTCGAACTAAAAATATAATATATTGTTTATTTAGCTTTTCTTGGATGAATAGTAATAATATTAATTGAAATTTAATATCACTTGTAAGAAAATGTTGATTTTAATTTCTCTAAATAATTATTGAATATATTAAAGCAAAGTTAAAAATAAACAATCAAAATAAAATTCAAGAATTGGAGTTAATGATTATCACTAAGAGTCATTTTTTAAGTTTTTATAAGATTTCTTTAAAGTAGAAAAGTAATAAAGACCTTAAAAATTATCTAAAGATCATTTTAGAAATTTTATTATTATCGGATTTACTTTAAATAATAATTAAAAATATTTACTGATCAATCTAGAGTTTTCAATGTAAAAAATTTCTTTAATCCCAGTAATGAAATTTCATGAGACTTTTTTTATCTAAATCATATTTCTTCAATTCATTTAGTTACGAGTGTCTCGTTACTGTATCCTGCTTATACTTGCATCCGTCCTCGGATTCAGACACTTTCTTTCCTCTTCTCACTTCCAGATCTCTGTTTAGTTGGTCCAAGGAAGATCGTTGATCCGCGGGTGGCCAGAGAGTATACGTGGGCTTGGTAGAAACCGACTCCAACGTACCTCTTACCGCATTAATAACACTGGTAGCTGCTCATATGTTAAACGTCCACCCTGTTACCTTTTCTCCGTTGCTACCTACAGCGTTGCACACTACTCCAACGACTTTTTTAGTACCACGTTTAGTGCTTTATCCCATTCCCTGACATTTCTAGATTTTTTTTACGATCAAATTCTACATAATCGGTGTTGAATGTACTTAGGGTATATACGTGATACAGAATTTCATGTACTTCACTTCGTGATCGTTTAGATGCTGGGAATATTCTATTTATTGCTATCATTTGTACACTTCGTGGTAACTGAGAAATCATGCTTAAGATAGGAAGGAAAACAAGATTTTGAAAAATAATATTTTATTAAGAATGGTCTCGATTTTTCATTATTTTGCTATTGTGATGTAATTACTCAACATATTTAGATCATTCCCATAGATTTATTTTATTTTATTCAAAATATAATGTGAATTAAATTATCAATTACTTTATTTAATTGGAACAATAAATTATTAATAATTAATTATGATATGTAATTTCAAATAATCAAATGATGGGAAATAAAAAATTTAAATTTTCTATCATATTAACAAAACTGAGGTTAAAAATGAATTTTATAAAATTTAATTTGAACCTCAGAAATGTACCAATGCCATATAAACAATGTTCTAAAAATGCATGATTACAATGATCACCAAAATGAGGTTCCTTAGATCAGTCTAAGACATCAAAATCATCAATGATGTTGATGATTCCCACAATGGAATTAAAATAGCAATTGGAACATCAAAAGAATCGAAGATTTTAAAGTTGAAACTGAATGTTAAAAATAGTCTCAAGCTCTTTAATATCACTGAAAATACTTCTACTAAAATTTGGAATACTTTTCTGGTTTATTTTTTCATTTGAACCATAATCTCTTGAACCAAACCAATGATAAACTGATCATTCATTTAATTAGTGATACAGTGCACTCCAAAAGTTAGTTGAAATATTCAGGTAAACATTCTCAAGTATTCTCTCTCTCTCTTACTTATAAAGTAAGTTATTTAATATCTTTGTTTCTTCCACTACTTTACAACATAATAATCAGCAAAATATGCAAATAAATTCGATACCTTATACTACATTCATTTCTATCAACCAACTCCATGCAAGCATCTATATTTCCCATCGACTATAACTTCATTTTCATAAAGTTTGCGGCATCTTGAGGTCAATGTATCAAATAGAATATCACTATTTCCTATCTAGCATCTGAGCGGTTATTAACGGGTTTGGTGTTCAAGTGAACAAGCATGTAGGTGTAACACCCCTGTAGGTACGTAAGCAAGATAGCCGTTGGCCCGATGGAGACTACTGTACACCCCAGGATATCGTGCACCTTCATGTATCACTCTAACGAGCCGAGGATCGCGTGCCGATCTGTGTTAAGGATTTATAATCTAGTATAGCTGTACGTTCAATCTGCTCTTGGCTTCTGTATATGTACCACTTCCATGACCTTCGTGGCAGGAAATAGATAACAGGTTTTTTAGTCCATCATTTTGATTACAAAGTAACTCATTTAGTTATTATGCTCTTTTTTATCGTGCTAGGTACTTCAAAAAAAAGGGGATGATTATTTTTCAGCAACGTTGTTCAATGATGGTTGGTTCTTTATTCGTGACTGAGTTCTTTCGTTGGAATATTCGATGCAATGTGAATTTCTGGATAGAAAAATGTGCATTCAATAATTTTAAATATTTATTTAAAAATAAACAGAGTGACAAATGGAAAGTTGCCTAAAGTAATCATTCATAATTTAAAAATGAGTCCAGAGAAACAAATAATAAAAATACATATTAAATCAGTGAAGTGTTTATTTTCATTTGAAATTGGTTCCAGTTGAATTGAACATTTTTAACAGATACATATTGAGTTTTTAAAAAAAATTGACAAAACCTGACTAGGGAATAAATACTACTGTTGAACATATTCGATTCAACTGGAACCAATTTCAAATAGAAACGACCATTTCACTGATTTCATATGTATTTTGATTATTTGTTTCCCTGTATTTATTTCAAAATTATGAATGATTACTTTAGGCAGCTTTCCATTTGTCATCCTGGATGTTTTTGATAAAAGTGAATATTCTTTTTTATTTATGACCTGGAACAGGATGATGACTATCTCAAGTTAAAAAATAAAGTTCGGAATAATTAGTGACACCTAAAGACTGATATTAAATGCAAGATTTTCATCAAAAATTTTAATGCACCCTTGAATTATGATGACAAGATCGGAAATAAATATCATGAAGACAAAAATGAACGAAAATGATGGGAATTTAGACGACATTGTCCTGAAGAATATTTTCCCCTCTTATTCTGCAATATTAAGTTGATCAAAATAGAGACGAATGCAAGTTTAGGGTGAAAAAGAGTGGGCGGATCTAGGTCTAAGGGAGAGATAAAGAACAAGACTCGAAAGACCAATCCAGTTGCTGTTGGTCGCGTCGTTGATTACGAGAAGCAAAGTCGCTAAAGCGACTCGCTGACTGGATAGATTGAGATGGTCTTATACTCTCTTTTATCCTTTTTTGCATCCTTCTTCTCTTACTACACTTTTCGCTCTTCGTCACGATTCTCTCTCCAGATGTGTATGGAGTCGAGACCCCATTCCCTTCCTCCATCCACGCAAGATGCACGGCCTCAAATGTCCCCTCGACGGGGACCAAGAGCCACTTTGAAGATACGATCTTGAAACAAATTGCAAGTCCTGCTGCGATGTCTCTCTCTTCTCTTTCATTTTACTCCCAACTTGTTCTTCCAGCTCCAATCTATTTTTTACCTCTTATCTAAACGCAGTCTGATTCGCTCGCTGCTTAAATGATGATACTTTTTTTATGTTTTGTATTATTATCATCTACAGAATATTGAAGCTAAATTAGTTAGTTACGAGTTTTAAGCGTTACATTATTCTTAATAATATTTGTTCATCACTGATAGTTGTAAGTGATCAATTTTACATTTATTATAGTCACTGTTTTCCAATCAAGATAATTAAGTCAAGGACAATTAAATTTATTTAATAATGATTATTTTTTTTTTATTTTTAATCCTCAAACTTGCTTTGGTGTACTGATAAATTTTTTTTCTTGCACATAAATGCATTTTATTATTTAAAAAATATACGAATTTAACTCTGAAAATTAATCAATTAAAATGAAGTAATGAATTGATTTTATTTGAAAAAAATTAAAGACAGTTGGAAAAAAATGGCAATAACAGAGACTTTTATTTTATAACATAAAGTTATAGCATCAAGCTATGAAACCATATTGTACAATAACAAAGATGACTTATAACAGTGCTTTGATGTCACCGAGGGAGCTAAAAATTGCGAGACCATAGAGAGCATATATGTAATCTCTCAATACGACAACTCATGTTATGTATACAGTCCTAACTAACTCAGATCGAACTAAATTTTCTCTCAACAGCCACAGTGTGTTGCTTGTTTCACACTTTTTCTCACTTTTCATTTCATTTTGGCCTGAAGCCTTTCAAGATTTGCAGAAACCTTACACACATAAAATACTGCTAGAAACAATATCAGACATTGTGTAAACGTGAGAATGTAATTGTTTTTCATTCCTCTACCATTATATTCACTTTATGAGTCATGAAATAATGGTGTAGATTAAAAATTCGTTCATAATTTAATAAAAACTAATTTCTAGATAAAAGATATTATAATATAATTTTCAACCCCTAAGGGTGGTGCATAAAATAAATTTATTCATTTTAATAATGAAATAAAAATTATCTCAAGGAAGAAATAAATTGGATAACAAGGTTTTTGAGCTTTAAAAAAATACAAAAAATAAAAAAGAGCCTAATTTGTAGAAGGAAAATAATAAAAAGAATAAATCTCCCAAAGAAGAAGCCACATATTGTAAAGATGATTCCCCAATCTAATTGACATAAGAAGCTTTCCATTTAATAGTTGGTGACATCAAAGGCAACCA